ACCTAATTGCCATAAACAACCCTATATTTATTAGCCTATTGAGAAGTCTACTTTGAGAAGGTTGTGTAATTCTCAGCTGGGAAAAACTATGTATCATAGTGCATAGTTAAGAGGATACCAATAAGGGATGTGACGGTAAGGCCACTGAGTATAGTCCTGTTCTCCTGATCATGATGCAGTAAACATGTGAAAGAAAACATCCAAATCAGGTGTTTGTCTTGCTGGTAACTATTGCCAATCAATTGCCTGCATATTGTGGGAGATGGAATGAAATATTCTTTCTTTCCACTCCTTGCTATGCAAAATAGCATTATAGTAAAAGCACTTTGACTTATATATACTCGCCATACCTTTACAGCACTCTCTGAGCAATTTACAAATGCTAGCATATTGCCCCTGCCCCCAACAATCTGGGTCCTATTTTACCGACTTCGGAAGGATGGAAGTCTGAGACCATCTTGAGCCAGTCAGGATCGAACTCTAGACTGTGAGCAGAATTAGCTTGCAATATTTCATTCTACCCACTGTACTACCACAGCTCTTCTTGTTGACAAAATTTATACTTTTATAAATAATTTTATAAAAGTCTATCTTTGGCAGTTTTAATCATATTTTTACTAAATTAGAAATCCTGCATAAAAGCATACATAAATACACCCTTCATCACAAACCACTTTCTCATTTCCCCACCAGACCTCTGGGGGAATCAGAAAAGGATTGAAGGGGAAACTCCCACCCTGCCCCAGCTAAAACTCAACAGAAAAACCCAACAAATTTTTTGGACTCTAATTAATTGAGAAACTTATTCAGTAGACAATTCCAAAAACATTATTCCTGCCAAACCTTGCTGATAACTTTTCTTGACCTATTTACCTTATCTCAGATTCAATGATAGTAGGACCTCAGAATATTTAAAATATATCTATCTGATGAAAATTCGTCCATCTACATAGGATGGCCGTGGAAGCTGCTTGAAAACTACATGTGTTTTAAAATGCAAGAGTTTCCTTGCTAAAGGTTGATAGCTATCCTGCACTTTTATTGTAAGAGCTGTACTGGCTGCCAGATTATTTGGGGGTATATTACTTGGGATCTAGGACAACTCACAGTGATCAGGTAAGCATGGATGGATGATGGTCCTGGATGGGTGGGTATGGCCAGGTGGGCAGGACCAGCTGGGTGCATGGATGGGTGTGGATGGGTTGGTATGGAACATGTCACACCAGCTAACTTGATTTGGGGACAACTTGGTGCCAGCCTTGGGGAGAAGAACCTCTCCTTCAACCTCTTGTTTCTCTGTGGATAAAAGTCCCCAAGCGCTCTGTGTGTGTATGTGTGTGTGTTGTGTGTGTGTGTGAGTGTGTGTGTGCACAGCATGTCAAACCTTTTCTGTTTATATTCAGGACAGCTGTTAAAATGCTGCGTTCACTGACTTACTGTGAAATGAAAGTTGTAATATCTAAGATTTAGATGAGTTTTTGTAAGAGGGTTTGTGTTAAATTGTAATATTTTTTTCTGATGTACTTGATGATTGATCTACTGGTCTGATAATAATTGGTTTTTATTCTACTAATATTATTTTACTGAAAGCTGCTTGGAGTCTGTGACAGAAGAGTTTGTAAATGTAAATACAGACTAACATGGATATCTACAATAATCTGAATAATAAGGATTTAAAGGCTCTGCTCTGAAAAACAGGCCATAGCTGTTTTATTGAAAATATGGTACGTTGACATGTATACTGGAATGAATAATATTTAATTAAGAAATGCAAAATAAATAGTGAGAGAAAACAAGCTTTGAGCCAATCACAATCTTACACATAATTTTTAGCTCAATCATTTTACATAGATGACAACTGAAGCATATGGATATAAATTCAATGCCCATAACCTCTGGGAAAATAGTAAAAAGTTGTTTTCACTGAGGAAAATGGTTCCTATATTTCTTTCCTAAATTCTTTCCATGCAGCAAAGTCTATTTTATAAAATTATCTTTGCCAGTTTTACCCTTGCTTGTATGGATACTTAGTCACCCTTGTCTCCCATTAAGCCATAATAGAAATATATTTTTGAGTTTTGCACCACTCACTACTCTCTGCACTTTGAAATTTGACCACTTTATTGCCCCCAAGACATTAATAACAAACTCACTGAAACACCAAATTGGGATTGATTAAAGACTAGCTACCGTTGCCTTGTTTTTTTCCCCATAGTCTGGATTTCTCATTCTAACTGTAAGTACTCTCAGTCAATTCTGTCCCCAAATGATGCATCTCCAACAGCTTTCTGATTATATGGCATGAAAATCTCATAACACCTGTATACCTACTTTTCTTTAAGAAATAATCACTCAGAATAAAATGCCTTTATGTTAGATTTATGGAATTAAAGAGTTGGAAGAGGCCATTTCTGTTCAATTACAGCATCTCAGAAGTTCTAAATACTGCTAAAATTCTTCTTCTTGTGGTCTTTAATTGGGTAGGAAAGAGCATCACAGGGCAACCATTTTTGAACCAAGGTAGCTCAAATGGGATAACTTACAGAATGTGTCCAAAATCCAGGACCCAGGATTCATCCGGGAAATGAAATCTGGGGACATTGTGGCTTCTTCTGTATATTGGTTGTTGCTGCACGGCTTGGCTGATGCTCCAGTCAAGTGATCTTCATTTTCAATGTCCTATGACAGTTTCCAAGCCAGTTTTGCAATACCTTGTTCCCTCCACTACCCAGTAGAGCCACTTACCTCCCTGCCAGGAAGGGAAGTGGAGGGGAAAAGGAGAGGAGATTTCTGGTGCTCTCGGCCAGCTTCCCACATAGAAACTCAATGGGGAAGCCAGTAGGAGGTCAAAAATCAGTCCTGCTCTCACTGCTTTTGTTTGCCTACCCATGGTCTTTCTGTTTGGATACAGAAATATCTCTGAAATAATGACTGAATTGTCTAGAAGCCATCTAATGCTTTAATACATTGCATACTGAATCTATCTTATGAACAGGAGGCCAGCGCCTCTAAGGGTTCCACTGTTTTTACCATTAGGAAATCCTTCTGCCATTTAGACAGAATCACCTTTCCTGTATTTTCTGTCCTGCACAAGAATTGACACTTTCCCTATTTTTAATGACAGCACATTTCCAAACTGCTAGGGGTTAAATTCTGCCAATATCTCAAAAATAATTTTGCAAGAGAACGATCATTGTCTTCATTTCGGTCATGGGAAACAATGAGAACAAATACAGAAAATTACTGTTCCTCCCAACTGCCATAGATTCTGCATCCCTCAACAACAAAGTGCATAAAGGAAAATAAAAAAATAAAATGTGTACACAGATTGATCCCTGATGAAGAAAGGAGTTAAATCTACAGAATATTGCCAATTTCACTCCATCTTGCTTTTTCACAAGAGTTAGGATCTGGCACAAAGGCAAGGCTATAAGATCCCTCCGCTGGGTCTGTCCTCAATCTTACAGAATTCTGGCATTCCTAACTGAAAACCCTATTCAGAACAGTCTGTAGATATTCTTAGTTTTCCAGGTCATAGTTGTCCCAAAGGTGCTTTTTCAGGAGGCAACTGGACTTTCTTGTTTTTTTTCTTTGAAGGCGTTTCACCTCTCATCCAAGAAGCTTTTTTAGTTCTGACAGGGTAGTGGGGAATGAAAGGATTTATATTCCTTGCAGACATCTGGTCTTCAAATAAAAAACAAACAAGAAAGTCCTAAAAAAGCACCTTTGGGACAACCAGGACCTGGTTGACTGAGAATCTTTACAGACCTTTAGCGATACAATTTGGGATGAATACCCTTTGGATGGTGTGGGAGTAGGAAAGGATTTCCAGACAAAAAATTGCAGACTATAGCAATCAGGAGCATTACTCAGGTGACCTCGAGGACACAGATAAACCTCCAAGTGCTTCATTGAGGATGCAAATGACCAGCTGTTGGCAAGGAATATAAATCCTTCCATTCCCCACAATCCTGTCAGAGTTGAAGAAGCTTCTTGGATGAGAAGTGAAATCTCTTCAAAGAAAAAACAAGAAAGTCCAGTTGCCTCATGAAAAAAAAACATCTTTGGGACATAGTCAGAACATTTTTTAAATTACATCTGAGTCGGAAATAAACTGGGTAAAAGCAGGGAAATAGTGTGAACAAGGTTATAGAACTGATATAGAATGGCACAAACACCTCTTGTGGAAACAATCTTAAATCTTTCTCAAGAGACTGATCTTATCCAGGAGACTTCAAAGCCTACAAAATCCCAATTCTAGTCCAATCCTATCTCATTCTAATCTGGTCTAGAAATTGATCTGATTAATCCAAACCAATCTGGATCCAGGTCTGGTGGGAAGGTCTACAGAGCAAGGAGGTAAATGTGTGTTTATTTCAAAAGGAAGAGAAATTGGAAAGGTAAGAAAACTGGAAAATGGTTCAAATTTCCTTCAGTTTTTGCAACACTACTGATTAGACCTCTTCTGGTCATGGATCTGCAATTTTTTACTGAACTGTGGGTCACATTACACATTTGAAAGAAAAGCTGAGAGCTGACCAACACCACCACAGTAAATAGATCTGGAAGAAAAAAGTAAAGTTGATTTGATTTGATTTAAATTAAATTTAAAAGCTCCCATCCACTCCACACAATATTGTTTTAATTATGAAGCTGCAGATTATGAAGCTCAGATTTGCTTGTGTTGCCATAACTGTTTGACCCAGCAGATGGCAGCATTAATATACTGTATTTCAGCCTAAAAAAATCCCTCTTAAAAATGGCTTTCCCTTTTACACTGACTGTGCTCTTTGCTACTATGTTATTATGCACAGGTAATTTTAGGTTTTTAGTGTGATATAAAACCACTCCTATATTAACAATCTATAACAATCCTTTTTTACTTTGATGAAACATCATAGAAGGACAGAAAAATGACCTCTGGAGAAAGGGTCAAAGTCAAAGTCTTCCAATCAAGTTTGCATTCTCCCAGGTCTCTTTTTCATTTTTATATTAATTTATATCAGAGGTGGTATTCAGCAGGTTCTGACCAGTTCTGAGAACCGGTAGCAGAAATTTTAATACCACCTCTGACTGGAAATTTTACAGTGTCCTTCCCAGTGGTGGGATTCAAAAAAAAAATTACTACTGGTTCTGTGGGCGTGGCTTGGTGGGCATGGCAGGGGAAGGTTACTGCAAAATCTCCATTCCCTCCTCACCCCAGCTACCTGCTTTCCAGCTCCGTTCTCCTGTGTAGGGCAACCAAAGAAGACCCAGCCGATCAGCTAGACTCGGGAGGCAGAGAATAGATGGGGGCGGGGCGAGTCAGAGGTGGGATTTGCTGGTTCTCTGAACTACTCAAAATTTCCGCTACCGGTTCTCCAGAACTGGTCAGAACCTGCTGAATACCAGCTCTGATCCTTCCCCTGCCGTGCCCACCAAGCCACACCCACAGAACCGGTAGTAAAAAAAATTGAATCCCACCACTGATTTATATACCCTAATTATATACAGGCAACTCCTCAACTTATGACCACAATTGAGCCCCAAAGTTCTGTTGCTAAGTGAGATGTTTGTTACATGAGTTTTGCCCTATTTTATGACCTTTCTTGCCAAATTTGTTAAATGAATTGCTACAATTATTCAGTCAGTAACACAGTTATTAAGTGATTCTGGCTTCCTCATTGACTTTGCTTGTCAGAAATTTGCAAAAGGTGATCATGTGACTCTTGGACAGTGCAACTGTCATAAATATGAGTCAGTTGCCAAGACAATAGAGATGGTCATAAAATGATCCTAAATCACTATTTTCAATGCCATCGTAACTTTGAACAGTCATTAACTATACTGTACTGTACAGTGTGTTTTTACTTATGAGTTTTCTTCCAAATGGAATGAAATCCTTTTCAAAAGGCCTGCTGGCCTTCCAATTTATCTTGTAAGTTATTTGTAGAAATGAAAAAAAAAAACAAAAAACAACCCTGTATATTTGAAAGTATTGCTCCTGGCTCTGACAAAGATTGGACTGTGCATAATATATGATTAAGTTACTTCACTCTTCACATAATAAATATCATACAGGAAACTGTTCTATCCCAGGCTTTGTCAAACTTAATAAAACACAAACTGAATTTAAAAGTAAAACCTTTTTTTAATGCGACGCTGGGAATTACTTGCATTCCCAGCCAAAACTCATTAGACACAGTTCCTCCAGATAAGAACATGCTTTTCAGTGCTGTAAGAACAGGGGTCTCCAACCTTGGCAACTTTAAGCGTGGCGGACTTCGATTCCCAGAATTCTCCAACCAGCGTGCTGGCTGTAGAATTCTGGGAGTTGAAGTCTGCCAGGCTTAAAGTTGCCAAGGTTGGAGACCCCTGCTGTAGAATGCTGCCAGACTCAGAGATCACTGAAGTGCTTTGCTTCCCGCAAAGCTCTTCATCATGGAGGACTGACTTTTATTCCTTATGGGAGGGGCAATCATCTCCTGAGCCTTACTCCCGAGTCACCCCTTCTTCTTCAGCTGCTCTCACCTTCTAGCAGCTCTGCGCACATGTGCACTGGGAACAGGCTCCTCTGGGTCCTCTGCTTTACTGCTGCCTGACTCTGAAGGCACCAAAGGCAGCACCCCACTTTCAGATGGTCCTGGCCCCATCCCTGCATCAGATGCAGGACCCTTGTCCAAGTCCTCTCCAGACTCCCTGACTGGTTCCCTTTCATCCTCACTGTCTGATACCTCTGCCATCCCCACCGGCTGCCGGCGAGCCACAACAGAAACAAAAAGATAGCGTCTTTATTGTGTCAGCTTTTGATTAAAGATAATAATGATGTGCAGAATTCACTTGTTTTAACCTCCATGGACTGGAAGAGCAGGAAAAAGGATCACATTTGAAAGTGGGAAGTGACGTGTAAAAGTAAATTATAAGCCACTCAGGAACAATCATGTGTTAAGCACATATTCTACTGACATTTGCTTATATTTGCCTTATGTGGTTTTCAGTCTCCCCTCCTCATACTAAAACAAGACGCAACATGTAACAAACATAGCCGCAAAACTGAGTCCAAGGCTGAACCCATATAGTCTCAAGCTCCTTTCCAGATCCTCCATACCCTTAAGCCACCTCCTGCCTTGATGTAGAATTTGGTATTCCTGCTGCCATTGCTACATTCCAGGGGGAGGCCTTTATGTAGTGTGATGGTTACGGGCTAGAAACAGGAAACTTTGAGTTCTAATCTTACCGTGTGCATAAAGCCAACTAAGTGACCTTGGGCCAGTCGGTTTCTCTCAGCCCTAGGAATGAGGCAATGGCAAACCATGTCTGAAATCTTGCCAAGAAACTACAAGGACTAGTCCAGGCAAGACTAGTCAAAATGAACTGTAAGCCACAAATAAACAAACAAATAAATAAACTTCCTCTGCTCACAGAAAATACCTGAAAATAATCTCTCTTGAGAAAAACAAGAAAGGATGGTTTAAGATTCCGGGCAGATTATAAAAAATAGTAGGCCTACTACAAATACCGAAAAAAAAAAGTCTTCTGCAAAGGGTTTACTAAATTGCATAGAAACACAGAATCTGCCGAGTACAAAGAGAGGTCATTAACATCAGAGATAATACCCATTAAGCAACAGGAAAGCAAACTATACTCAGTGCAATTCTTAGTAAGCTTGCCCTATTTTATTTTTTATTTTAGAGTTTTGAAATTGATGTTATCTCTGTGGCCATTTAGTCCTTTGAAAATCCTGCCTTCTGCAAATTCTGAATATGAACTGAGATATTAATTCGCACTCTTGCCAGCCTCAAACCCACCAATTTGGGTTTTAAAAAGAGAACACTTTTTTATTAACTAGCAGAAGGGAAAGGTTTAAGGACATCTGTTTGTTGTATCTGTGCCAACTCCCATGTGCTTCTACTTGAGATGGAGAATTTTGTGTACGTCTTGCCTGGGAAGTAGCTGCCAATCTTGTGAGTGCCAGGTGGCGTCACAGCAACAAACAACTCAAAACATACAACACAATACAATTTACACTTCATTTCAAATAAGATATCAAAGCAGACGGTCATATGTTCAGATACCAACACGCTGACTGGCATAAAACTGCTTTGTTTTCACTGCCTTAGTTGCAAAACATGGCAGCCAGGGCTCGCAATATATACAGCAACAACAAAGACCATCAAAATGATGTAAACAGAGCCTGTATCTTCTGTGAATTGCCATTTTCTGAAGCATGAATGTGCACATACATAGATGAGACTGATATGAAGTTAAGGGAGCATTTGGGTTTGGGGTTTTGGGGGGGGGGGGCGGGGGCGGGGGCGGGTTAACTGAGGAATTCTAGGAATTGAAGTCCACACATCTTAAAGTTGCCAAGATTGGGAAATTCTACATGCACCATATCTCGTGACTCAGGGTAGAAGGCTTGTATGTTTCCTAATTCAAAACATGTGATGCTGATTATTTATTTATTTGGTAATTGTGTTGGAGCTCTGGGACTTCCAGCTGGTCACTTTTGTAGCAACCAGTGAATTCAACCTGAAATCATGTAATGCATGTGAAGGACAAGGAGACAGAAAAATGGATCATTTAAGAAGAAATTATGTATTCTGAGTTCTGAGGTAGAACTCAAAAGAGGAAGCCTAAATCTCTTAGCTAGATGCTTGTAAGCTTTTTCAGAAGAAGCAAGATCAATTTAATGTGATCGTAAACAGATGGCACTTCAAGTTAGGATGAAAAATAGTGAAAAGGGTAAGGAAAAAAAATCTCCCTTTGTAATGATTTTTTTTTTTTTGCTTCTTCCTTAATGTACAATACAAGGTGTCCTCAGTTTAGCAAGGGACCAGCAACTCTTCGCTGGTTGACAATTGGGGCCATTGACTCCCTCACTAAGTGAAAAATCATGTGACCACAGCCATCTTTAAGACCTCACTTCTGGTCCAATTATTCAGCAAGTGATTGCAGGTCATTAAGTGAGACATTATGTGGCCATGACTTGTGATTTTACTGCCGGCTTCTCCGTTGACTCTACTTGTTCGAAACCGGTTCTGAAACATGCAACTGAAAATCATGTGAATGTAGGGCGCTGTGGTAATTGTAAATTCCTGATGGTTATGAAGCATAACCAGTCATTCCCATGACTGTGGGGAGGTTGCAACAGTCGTAAGTATGAGGACTGGGCATAGCCTGGCCATAGGACTAGTTCACAGTGCCAGTTTGGTCTAGTGCAGTGGTGGCTAATCTCTTTGGGCTCCTGTGTTGAAAATTGCACATGCACCAGAAGGCAATGCATGCGGGCTTCCCAGGCCCCCTGCGCATGCGCATGTGATTCCCCCCGCTGCCCCCTTACCTGCACTGTGCACCTCCCAGCTGATTTTCAGCCACTATGAGGCCTTTTTCAGCCTCTTAGAGGCTTGACGGAAGCCTCTGCAGCCTTTGGAGGTTGAAAAATGGGCCCGTTTCGTCACTTCTGGTATTTCGGGAAATACAGGAAGTGATGAAACGGGCCTGTTTTTTGGCCTGCAAAGGCTGCAGAGGCTACCCTTGAGCCTCTGGGAGGGCGAAAAAGGCCTCAAATGGGCCAAAAATCATCTGGGAGGCATGTGCATGTGCACTACAGGCAAGTTTGACAGGGGCTCGCATGCCTGCACAAATGGCTCTGCGTGCCACCTGTAGCATGCATGCCATAGGTTCACCTTAATGGGTCTAGTGGTTAGGATGCTGACCTAGGACCCATGAGGACATGAATTTAAGTTAATCCCACCTTAGGCATGAAAAATCAGATGGGTGACTTTGAGCCAGTCACTCCTTTCAAGCCAACCCACCTCACGGGGTGGTTGTTGTGGGGAAAATAGAAGGAAGAAGGAGTATGAGGTATGTTCTCTGTCTTGAGGGGCATTATAAACAATAATAAAGGTGGGATAAAAATAAAATTAATTAATAAACTTTTTTTTCCAGTGCCCTCGTAACTTTGAATGAACAGTCACTAAACAGGGCAGTTATTAAGCAAGATCTACCTGCATAATATTGTTGAAAAATTCCCCAACTAAGCCAAAATGCAAGTAAGTGGTAGAAACTTTTCAAGACTGTTTTCTTCGTTCCCAATTAATATTTTAAAACTCCCAATCTATCGTGGATAATGTGTAATCCGGAATTACAGCCTTGATTAAAAGGCTTCACCACTGTTGAGTGGCTGATGCTTTTGTTCTCACTTCTTTCATCAACTTAAATTCTTGCCAAACACTGGGTAATTTGAAATGAATATTTTATGCTCGGCTCATTTACATAATGTTAGAGGGGCTTGAGATAATAATGCCTTTCATTTGTAATCCTCCTGTGTTTTTTCTTCCTGCTTTTTTTTCCTTAGTGTGTGTGTGTGTGTGTGTGTGTGTGTGTGTGTGTGTGTGTGTGAGCAGTGTATACATACATACATACACACACACACATACACACAATTAAATAGATTAAAAAATCAGAAACTGGTGTTAGGAAGAATCATAATTCCATCAGACATTAAAAAAAAATAGGATGTCAGCAACCCATCATACTCCAGCAACTTTTCAAAGCATTAGGGAACATGTCATAATATCAGATGATATATATGTGTGGACATTTCCCCCCAAAAAAATTAACTAAAGAGAAACAGAAACGGTATTGTTGTCATGGCAACTGACCAAGCATTCTTGATGTTAGTTGACTGAAGCAGTTTGAGGCTCATTTTTCTGGCAGTAATTATCATAGTCTTTTATAAAACCCTCTTGTCAGTGATATGGTCCTCTGAGTCCCATTGGAAGACTATGGTAATTAGTGCCAGGAAAATGAACCTCAAACTGCTTCAGTCAACTAACATCAGGAATGTTAGTTGGGCAGATATATTTTAGAAAACAAAAAAACATGCCTCTCACATATGATGTTGTGCTAGGTTCTTAATCTTAGGTTTAAATCATAAACCTAGATGTAAGATCCTCCTTAAATCAGCAAATGAGCATATGACACAATGGTGGGACAGTGGCCATACCACTGCCCATATATGTTTGTATACATATATATATATATATCGCAAATCACATGTATTCATATGTGTGTGACAGTGATGAGATTCAGCCGGTCCTCACTGGTTCACCCAAACTGTTAATTAATTGCTTATGCTGTTTAGAGAACCAGCTAAAAATAAAATGCAAGATAAGTTTTTTTCCTCTCTCTCCCTTTAGTTAAAAGTTCTGGGCAGATAGCCAAGAACCACTTAACAGTTGCAGCTGGAATGCAGCTGATACATGCTGAATCAAGTCAACAAACAACAGAAACTGACCAGATTATGGCAGGGAAACCCATCAATCACCCATCTAAGAATGGTATTAACCTCTCCTCTTCAGGAAGAAGGACAAGATTGCAAACATTTTCATTATAAAGAGTATTAAGTAACACTTCTGTGATCAGCTGATACTCCCTGAAGTTCCCCAAGACCTTTTATAGCTGCTGCAGTGTTGGCTACTTGTTGTTTCTTCCTGGGTGGCAAAAATACAGGAGAGGACAATGATGCAACTTGATCATACAGGCTGTGAATTTAATGCATGTGTGGTCCAGCCAGCCATATTGCTTCTGTTGTGAAGTACCCAATTTAGAACATAGAGAACATAGAATAATAGAGTTGGATGTGTTAATGGCTTTTGGCAGCACACATAGGCTTTCAATTAGCATGAGCAGCTGCTCTTAGTTTCCCTTTTTTTTAAAAGGGGGATGGCTGCTTTAAGTATTCTACATTGTTTTAGTGGTTTCTGACACTGTCCTTTTGGAATGTACCTCCCTCACACTTTTTGAAAGCCTCTAGTGATGGAGCATCCACAACTTCTGAAGACAAGCTATTCCATTGGTTGATTGGTGTCACCCTTAGGAAATTTCTCCTTAGTCCTAGGTTGCTTTTCTCTTTGGTTAGTTTCCATCCATTGTTTCTTGTTGTGCCTTTTGGTACTTTGAAAAATAGATTGACTCCCTCATTTTTGTAGGAGCCCCTCAAATTTCCTAACAAAACAATTAATTAGTGGAACAACTTGCCTCCAGAAGTTGTAAATGCTCCAACACTGGAAGTTGTTAAGAAGAGATTAGATAATCATTTGTCTGAAGAAGTACAGGGTTTCCTGCCTAAGCAGGGGGTTGGACTAGAAGACCTCCAAGGTCCCCTCCAACTTAGTTATTCTATTCTATTCTAAATATTGGACCAGAGCTATTTTATTGTGAGTTGGACTATGGAGAAATTTCCTAAGGGTGACACCAATCAAGTTGGCCATGCCCATCCAGCCACATGACCACCCAGCAATGCCTACCCAGTCATTAGGGCAGAGAACCAAAGAACTAACAGAGAAACTCCAGTACTAACTAAAAAGAACAGTTTGGTCTAGTGGTTGAGGCATTAGGACAGAAAGCAGAAGTCCATGAGTTCAAGTCCCACCTTGGCCATGAAGCCAGCTGCGGAACCTTGGGTCATTCACTCTCAGCTAAATTCAAGAGTATTGTTAATTAGAAAAGGCCATAAGGCATAAGGTGTAAGAATGTAGAAAAGAATAGGATTTAGAAAATAGAATAGAATTGAATAGAATAGAAATTAGAATAGAATAGAATATCCCAATCAGCGACTGTTCAAAGATATGACAACAGTGAAAAAGTGGGTTTAAGAAGGGTTCTCAAACTTGCTGCAGTTTCAGTATCTCTGCAGTCACAGGATTTTGATTTGGACACTTTGCAACTAGTGGATTTTTTTTTTTACAGTGACAGCATCCTACAGTCACCATTTGCGACTTTCACAGCTGGCTTCCAACAAACAAAATCAATGGGGAAGCTGGCAGGAAGTTGAAAATAACAACTGCGGGATGCTATGGCTGTAAAACAAATGCACCATAGTTACACAGTGCTTAAATCATGGGCAAGCCACAGTCATTTGCAGTCCCACAATGACTTGCTTAACAAACACAGCGGAAGTGATGTCAGAAGTCCAGCACAGTCACGTGACATTTCCTTTAATGACTACATCACTTAATAACAGAGTTGCTAGTCCCAATTGTGGTGGTGTGATGACCCAGAATGTCCCACAAATGTATTAAAAACCAAAACGTAAATAAAGGTTCTTTAATGCCTTCAACTTGACTTCACTGTTCAATTATTCA